CCTGTACCCTAGTTCTGTATGCATAAATAAATAAATCTTAAAAAAAAAAAAGATAAACTCATGGCAACATGTGGAATTAGAATGGATTATGCTCAGTGAAATAAGTCAGAAAGAAAAGAAAAATATTGGATGGTCTCACTTATGGGGGGATTATAGGGGAACCAAATAAGGGATCAGGAGAAAAAAAATAATAATACAACAACAAAAGTAACCAGGCAACTATAAACCAGAGACACTCTGCAGGGGAGGGGTGAGGGAGAGGGTAAAAAATGAGGGTAGGAAGAGCACAGGGGACTGAGATGATGGTGCACAAGTGAACTGGTGGTGGGAATTCTATGGGGACTGCACCTGATGTAAAATACATCCAAATAAAGAAATTAAATATTTAAAAAACAAACCTGTATGGTGTCACTTGTGTCAGCAATCTCAAGGACAACCTCTAAAAGAGAGTAGAGTTGTGGCTGTCAGGGGCTGGGGGTGTTGACACTGGTCAAAGGGTACAAAGTTACAGCTTATGTACATATTATGAAGTTTAGGGGACTAATGTACACCATGGTGATCACAGCAAATAATCATCATACTTTTGAATGTTGCTAAGAGAGTAAATCTTAAATGTTCTCAGCATAAAAAAAAAAACGGTGTAATAATGTGGTATCAAACATATCTTAATGAAATGTGGGGAAAAATAATTCCCACATCATCCACATTAAGATTTCCTACATACTAACATTTTATACTTTCTTAATTTAAAGCATACTGAGTTGCATTGTCTTTCCTCTGCTCCCATTTAAAAACAGCGGTAATCCCTTCCCATCTCCCAAGGACCTTTGTGTGAATACACGATGGAAAGCTCTCTGGGGACTTTGAAATCCTCTATTACAACCTGAAGCTGGAATCATAACGGTTTTAATTTCTTGGTAAGAACTGCATAAAAGTTAGCCACTACCAGGGTGTTAACATTGCTCTACCTACAGTTAGTTTCAAAACTCAATGCTCTCCAAAATACTTTCTCATTTTTCAAGTCAATGACTTCAACTTTTAAACATCCTGCCCTTTGTAACACAAAGAACAGGCAAAGCCAAAGGGGGAAAGAGCGAGTCCTTCAGACTGCAGTTCTGAGGGATGAATTGGGAAGGCAGATTACACTACTATAGAAGGTCAGAATCAAGAGACAGTTGCTGTGCTTTATTTTTGGCACAAACGTGCGCTAAGCTATCAGGCATTTCATGCCAAAAATCTTTAAACTATTCAGACTATAGTGTATTTTTTTTCCACTTGAAAATTCTTTTAGGGGATCCAGGGATCTGCTTTGATACGCATAAGAGAGAGACGTAAGAACACCCTCTTATTCCCTTTTTCTGAAAAAACAAATAGGCATTCGTAATATAAATGAAAATTCACTCTCCGGATGCCAGTGAAATTTCAAGTGTCGAGTGCACCAGGATAATACCAGCATAGCTGTCATGAGACCAGGTGCTCACTGGGACTGTGTTATTAACTACGGGATAGCCCAGTGTACGTCACTTCCCCAACCTAAGCCTGTAGCAGGGTGGTGTCCAGGAAAGGTTCCTGGTTCCCTGCCCTACCCAAGGGAGGCTGGAGCTGAACAGGGAGAGAGGAGACTGGGAAGGAGGGAAGCAGGATGGAGAGCCAGAAGGAGCCCTAAAGGAGCCACATGGAGCAGAGAGACGTGAAGAAACTGCACTTGCTTTTGGCCCTGGACTGGTTGAAGCAAGATGTGGGTGAGCGACCCATGGGGAGGTGACTATGGCAGCATTTATCTTGGTTTTGATTTTGCTCTTTTCCTCCCAGACTTGTCTGGCCATTTCTGACTCTTTTCTATGGTCCCCATCAGAAGGTGCTTTAGTCTTGCGGTAGGTTTTTAGGCCTTGCTTTGGGCCAATCCTGTCTGGGTGGATTTTTACCCACAAGGGGATGGGAACTTTGAGTGCTTGATTTAGAAACTATATTCTTTGTCTTTTCTGTGTTGCTCACTCATGTATTAAAGTTCCTTTCCATTAAAGATCTATATGCTTTTTCTTGATGCAGTGGATGGCAGAACCTATTTACAGCAGGTGAGTTTGGGGTTTCTGGGGTGTCCTCCCCCTGCCCTGTGACAAGCCTTTGTTCATCTAAAAAAAAAAAAAAACTCACCATCAAAAAAGCTAGATTTAATATGATTTAACTTCTAAAATATACAACAGAGGCCATGAAGAACTTGCCAAGCAAGATAATGATTTTGTTACAGGTCAATGACGGATCAACACCAGGAAAGGTACTTCGGGCTGGCCAACCATAGTGGGTGCCAGACTGTCACAGGGCAACCCCAGCATGAAATGGGTTGGCCTGACTGTGGGTCCTCACCACCCACTTAAAAGGGATTTATGAGACTCAACCACAAGTACCCACAAAAAGGGCAATAAAGGGCTTATTTACAAAAAAGGGGAAATGAAGAAATAAGTAACTCAGGGACAAAGAGAATTGGTGAGTGTATCCTACCAGTGTCGCTGAGCTGGAAACCCAATAGCACACTGACAGCTGGTGAGAAACCAAGGACCCCCAGGGTCCACATGTCTGGTTATCTACCAAACCTAGGTGCTTACACTACTCTCAGTTCCCAGAAGTCCTCCTTTCAGTGATGATGAATTATGGGATTTGTAGTCCTTGGTGTCTTGGATCTCTTTGGTCTAGGGTCCAAAAAACCTGTTGGTGGAGTTTTGCTCAGGACATCCTTTCCCACCAACAATTTCTGAAAAAATACACATACTGCAAGTCCCAGAAGAGAGATTATGGTAATAACAAATAGTCGTCTGTGAAACAAGGGAAACAGGCCAACAAGATTTCTAGCAGCCAGTCAGTAAATATTTGAGGTGAAGGAGCACCTTAGGTGGCCCTATACCTGGACTGCTAGAGAGGCCAGGGCAAGTGAAAAGAATTGAAACCTCTTGATAAAATGCTTTCTATGGAGAGCAGCTGGGATGTGGCTATAACTATCAGGTCTAAGGTCAGACAAACCTGGTTCTAGTCCTGATACCACTAGTTTTACCTTTTGGTTAGGTAAGGTTCTTTTTTTTTTATTATTATTTATTAAAGCTTTATTTATGCATGCAGAATTGGGGTATAGGCTAGCAGTGTAGGGGCAGTGAGAGAGTTCAAAAGAGACAGAGTGGGGAGCAGAACAGACAGATCAACAAAGTGCACTGCTCAGGGGAGCAGTGGACGAGACGTGTGGGATCTCCCTGACCGGGGATCAAACTTACAGTGAAACAGCTGTGGCTGGCTAGCTAGCTTCTCAGTGCTTTGCTTTAACCTACTGCACCACCAGGGAGGCCCCTGGTTAGGTAAGGTTCTTAACCACCTTGAGCTTCTTCATCTATAAAAAGCATTTTTTGAATGGAACAGAACATAGGTTTTGTGAGACAAAAAATGAGACAATGTTCCTAGAACACAGTAGGAGCTCGATAAATGTTGATTGGCATCACTAATTTTATTAAGGAACAGACAGAGTAGAGAGGCCAGAGAGGCCAGCCCATGAGGATACTTACAAGGATGAAAAGAAAGCGGAGAAAGGATGAATGACAAGCAGAGAGGGGAATGTGTGGGCACCATCAGTGGCTGTGAGTCACCCAGCTCCCAGCTCCCCAGTGAGGTACTCACAGTAGGCAACTGTGGCAAAGGCTGATCTTCTGAGACTCACACATGGAGTAACCGGTAGGCTATGCTGGTGAGGCAGGAAGCTGCCAGCACCACGAGGTAAACACAGGCCAAGAGAAAATAGACCCTGGCTGCCCGGAAACTAGCAAAGAACTAAAAGAAGCAGTGGCTGAAGAGATGAATTAGGAAGCAAAACTGAGGCCAGCATCAGAAGCCAATATATTACAATTGGGTGGGCTCATGTGTGTATACCTCCTTCATCCTTTGTAACACGTCCCATACAGACCTGAACGTTTGGGGTGAACACTGGCCCAGAATGAATCAACACTTTTCTCAGAGGTAACGAGAGAGCCCTGGGCTTCTGAGTCAGTCTCTTAGTGGGTGAGCAGTCATGCTGCTAGTCCCATTCTAACCTGGCCACTTAGGTCCCCAGGACCTGGCCTAATGCCCTTGAGCACTAGTCAGATTAGAAATTCTCCCCAGTATCCCAAGTTCAGGAAGGGCTGGCCTAAATCACACGG